ACGTCCTCAGTCCCATCTACAACGTTGCATGATGTGAGGCGGGCGTATGCCCAAGATGGTGAGATTGTGAAGTTGATGACATATCTCTCACATCCATCTCGAGAATCGTTGAAACGATTATCGTCTGCGTATCAATCTGCATCAGATCGATACACTACTCGCAACGGTTTACTGTATTATACAGCCGTTTCTGGTGACGCACCACGTGTTGTCGTTCCAGATGAAACTGATCTGCGTTTGCGGATCAGGACGAGTATCACGATGCTCCTATAGGAGGACATCGTGGCCGGGAGAAATCATATCTCACGGTGAGTCGAGACTTTTACTGGCCCCGCCAGTATCAGTTTGTGCGAAAGTATGTTCGCGCATGCGAAGTCTGTCAATGAGTGAAGTCAAGTCCTTCACTGCGTGCATCTTTACAGCCTCTACCGGTTCCGGCTGAGTGCTGGGAATCCATCTCAATGAACTATGTCTTCGGGTTACCCAAATACAAACGCGGGAATACGGGTATTCTCGAATATGTTGACAGATTCAGCAAAATGGTACACCTTCTGGCTGTACCAGAGTCAATCACGGCAAGTGGCTGTGCTTGTGTCTTTATTGACACCATCTTCCGACTTCATATGTTGCCCCGTGAACTCGTATCAGACAGAAATTCACGATTCACTGCTGATTTCTGGCGTTCCGTGTTCAAATCACTCGGAACGCGCTTGAAGATGTCTACATCTGATCATCCAGAGTCAGATAGTCAGACGGAACGTGCCAATCGTGTCCTCGAAGAGATACTTCGAGGATACGTACACTCCTTCAAGAGTTGGAGTGAGTTCTTGCCCATGGTATAGTTTGCCATCAACAACTCGGTGCATGCGTCCACGACACATACACCGTTTTACGTGAATGGCTTACGCCATCCGCGTGTACCCACCTTACTCGAGTGTAACTCTGGTTTAAGTGGGGGAGGGACTCGCGCGAGCAAAAACCGATTTGTTTCACGCTCATCACGCTCTGACGATGAGGTCATTGCGTTTGATGCCGATATCGACAACATCGATATCGAAGAAGATGATGCCAGTGAGAGTGCGGAAGCCCTCACTGAAGAAACTATTGATGTTGCTGCAGTGCACTCACAGCGCACTGAAGCTAACGAGTCATCAGATGAATTCTTACTGGCTCGTGAAACGGTAGTCCGTTTTGTGCAAGACTCCATCGCCGAAGCGGTGGATAAGCAAAAGCAAAACGCTGACAAGAATGAAAGGGCAAACACTCTATTATTTAGTAAAGGTGACTTAGTCCTACTGTCTACGGTTAATCTACCAAAGCATGTAGTGACTAACTTGGGTAGCAGTAAACTACTACCCAAGTACATCGGCTCATTTCGTGTATTGCACCGCCTAGGCAATGAATACACGATCGAGTTACCACGTAAGATGCGAACGCATCCCACGTTTTACGTTGGTCGGCTTAAGCCGTACCATCAGTACGCTGCTTCTTCCGATGAAGAACGCCCTTGCGCTCAAACATATCGCAGAGAGCCTTGTGCTCCCGATGGTGGGCATCGACAAGCGTCTGAAGAGCAGCTATCTCATCCCGAGACCGATCAACAATCCCACGAGCTAACCTTAGCTCGTCACGAAGAGATGTCAGAGCTCTCTCGTTCTCAAGCTGAGAAAAGGCAAACTCAGCTCGATGCTTCAAGACAGTGTCCGCCATTTGGAGACGCCTGTCCCGCTCATGTTCGAGATCGTTGCGTAACCCTTGCGTTACGCGATCAAAGAAGCTCTCGAGAACACACGGATCTCCACGATCGTGTGGAGAGCGTCTTTCCTCCTCCTCCACCTCCATTAGAGGACTCTCGCGGTGGACAGCGCTATCTAGTTGAGCAGCTGTTGAACCACCGCGACGTGAACGGACGTCGGACGAGTTATCTCGTCCGGTGGCGCGGCTATCCCCCGTCCTAAGATTCTTGGGAGCCCCGCTTCCAACTGATGATCGACGTGCTGGGTCTGGTTGAGAAGTACGACGCGGCACATCCTGAGCCGCAGAAGGACCGCCGGAGAAAGTCTTCTCGGCACGGTCGTAAAGGGATTTCAGGTTGTCAATCCCTTCGTACATCTCACTAGAGATACGTACGCGCCACCACGGGCTATTAGGGAGGTAAGCCTCCTTAGGTGCTCGTGCAGAGTTGTTCACACAACACGGGCACGAGTCTCCCCAAGAGAGGCAGGGTAATCCTTTCTCCCTTGACAGACGATGCAGCTTGTAGCGTGCACCTGTCGGGATTCGCTTTTCAAACTTATCACGAGCTTTGATAAGTTTGTCGTTCCGAACGTCACGACCAACATCCTCGAGGTTATGGATGTAGGCGTTCCACGCTTGAAGCAGTGAGGGACCATCACGTTTGTAATTCCCACTGTACCATCGATGTCTACAGAAAGCATCGATGAAGAACTCATTCTCAGTGTGATATCTTTTCGCACTGGGGTCAAGGTGATAGATCCTCGACGAATCGAACAACCGTGTTCGATAACGATCACTCTTCGTCGCCGACAAGAGATCCATGACAGATTTTGGAGGCATCCATGCCTTCTTCTCAGGAGCGAGACGCAAGACATTGCGGTCCCGCTCTTCCTGCGATGTTCCGACAGAAGGACTGGCACCTCGTTGCGAAGTGGTGTCCATAGGAGAACCGACATCACTGTTAGCGCCCGAGTCTCGCGACCTCGAGCGCCTTCGCTTCGGCGGTGGTTCATCTGATGAATCAGATGAACCAAAGATGCTACGACGCAAAGCATCATCCATGCCACGCTTGGCAGGCGGCTTGGATTCGATCGCCGTCGATACGGATCCGTCTTCCGTATCAGGAGAGTATGAGACACCGAGCTCATACTCTGTGAAGACAAGAGTGTCGTCATCACGAGCGCCTGCATCACCAGGTGACACAGGCTGAGTCGCTTCCGCAACCGATGAGACATCAGTTGCTGCGGTTTCTGCTTCGGCGTACGCACAGAGACGTGCGGACGCGCTCTCGGCGGCCTTGCTCGCGCATCGCATGGGCTTGTTAACCATGCGATGAATTGTTGGAAAGTGGACTCGGACCAACAAGTGCAAACCCTGTCCCAAATGATTTGGGACGAGTATCCATTTAGTCAATCAGTCACTAAAGTGACTGATGGTTAAGGGGGGGTGATGTAACGGGGTGAATTGTTACATAACAATTTTTAAGAAATTGTTAAAAGTATATGACTATAGGAGTTTCATTCTCAGAATATTGTCATAAGGACAATATTCTGCAGCACTTACGATTAGTTCCTAATTGGTTGATACAGGCCATTATATCAACCAACGAAGACGCGCCACGACAGACGCACGCAATGAGTGGTGAGCAGATATTTGATTTACACATTTGTATTCAGACATAGTCAGACGAGGATAAATAGTGATTTATTAACCGACATTAACTATGATAAATACAGTTCTACTTTTTACTTAAACCAAGTGCTCGCTTCTTCTTACCGTCTTCCTCTGCACGTACGAGTGTACGTGAAGTTCCGAGGCACCGCCTTATTCTGTCATCAGAATAAGTAGTTGTACTGTTACCAGTACAAGCTTCAGGGTGCCCCGTTACAAGGTTGTCGTCATACGACAATGTATACATTAAGATAGTTCGATAAAGACTGAAGTTGTATTAATAGCTTTACCATATTAAATACAGGTCTCTTTTTAATTTTTCTTAAACTAGCAACTTTGAGTAGATTACATTCCTCTGCACTTACAATTGTGCGTAAAGTTTTGTGGCACCCAAAGCAAAAGGTGCCCGTTACATGATGCCCTTACCAGATTGCAAAATTGATAAGACTGGCAGCTCGTGTGAGCTCACATATTTAGTATAACATTAAGAAGCCAGAAGATAGATCCTGGTTGACCTTTTGTTTTGACAACTGCCAAAATGGTCACTACCGATGCATACTCTAGACGTTGTTGTCGGCGATATCAAAGGCGTGACGTAAGTCAAGAGAGAAGGACAATATGGAGCCACGGTCGTCCATATGCCTCAATTTATAGCTGCTTTTCGGAGATGCACGATTTTATAATTTAAAAATGCATTTTAACGTATGGCATACCTAATTTTAGATCTGCACAAAGTAAAGTAAACCATTTGAGAGAAGACAAATTTCATAAATTGAAGCCAGTGATGTCCACAACATCATCCAAAAAGCGTATCTAAAGATTTGTGTAGAAAATTGCATGCGGGGGCCTCAATGCACCAAGCCCAACATGTTTTCGCCTCATCCGTTTGAGTCCAGGATCCAATGTCACGCTATTGGACTGCTTTGGGCATTGTTGCCGTTTGACAATACAATGTCGTGCAACGAAAGATCGCGAATCTACTTTACCAGGGTTTTATCAAATAATGAATCCACGGGGCTTTATTCGACATGGTGGACGTTCTCTCGTTAAATCGTGGATGTTCTCTTAGCATTAGTCTCCATACTTTTATAAGTCAAATGGATAGTCTGCGCGACATGATGGTGTACTGAGCGATAGGTGTAGATGTCGTTAGATTTCTAATCGATGATGCACCTCGGCAACCAAACGACGATTGGTGATGCGCAACGTGGCATTTGCTAGTGCGAAATGTGTCGACAAGTAATGCGCGATATGGCGATCAGTAATGTATGGTCGAAGTATCCAGTATGCTTAGAGTAGCAAAAGAGATTGGAAAATACGGACTTAAATACATTCCCTTTGCATTTGCATCTCACAACACAAGCATTTGACAGCAAGATTCTACAAAAGTGTCAGGACCAAATCGTCTAGGAATAGAGCTGCAGTAATGGAGCTGCGATACTTGTTAACTATGTCGTCTATACGTTGCAACGGCTATGCGACTTACATTTCTCATTTCACAAATTTCTGCAGCCACCGACACCAACAACATGCGTCTCCTCTGCTGTTTCTTTACGGCCTCCATCTTCTTTCAGTGTAACGTTGCTGGAACAATGACTGGCAGGAAAACTTCGACCGACAACTCTACTCCCGACTTGCTCCTGGTTCCTCCTCATCTGAAGACGACCGCTTCAGTAACACCAGACAACTTGGAAGGGAACATCGATCAGGGCGACGAGGAGAGGTGGACGATAGTACCGCAGGGTGTGACCGATGTAGTCCACGCACTGCAGACGAGTATGCTCATTCGGCTGCGACGGCCCCCGCCGGACGTTTTCTCGCACTTCAGTGTTCTAGCGCAGAAGAATGGACCCATCGACGTTCACAAGCTTACGAAGTGGCTTAAGTACGTCGATTCGTACAGGAAAGTGAAGACCTATGACGTTGCTGATGAAGTGAAGCTTCTGGTGGATATGTGCGGGGAAGAGAACCTGGTGGAATCTCTATTTTGTCTTTCAAGCGTCTCTAGCATGCACCATCGCGCTAACGCCTTGCTACGAGAACTGGACGTGACATACTCAGAGGCGTGGAAGATGGCAAAATCGAGGTGGCTAGCGGCTGATGTGGACCCTTCGCATGTCTACCCTTTGATGCCCGTTGGAGCGACAGAAACACTTGCAAGTGCTGACGGAAAAAATGCGTTCATGCAGTGGATTGCGTACGTCGACGAGTTCAACCAGGTCAGTCCAACACGCTTCTACGGCACAGTTTATGTCGTTGTCTTCTTATTGGAGCATCGACCAACAAAAGAGCTAGCAGAACTATTCCATTTGCTTCGAGGCGCCCCCCACATGGAGAAGCGTGCTGACGAATGGCAACGCATACTAGCCGTAATGCATCCGGAAATCGTGAAGGAAATGGAACCTTTGTGGCTGGCATCAAAGATGACCCTAGAGGAGGTCTATGGCTTATTGCCGATTGCGCTCAAAAAAACACTCGTTTTTGACGTCGTAAACGAGCCGACGTGGCTCCCTGTCCGGAATGAGCTGAAGCGGTTGCTAGATTATATGGAAAAGTACAACGCCGAAGGAATGAAGGAAAGAATCACTTATTCTGACGATGATTTGTTCAAGCTGCTAATGCGTGAGAGAACACCTTGGGAGCTGGCCGAATTCTTCCATTGGCTTCGAGGCGTCGACGGCATGCAGAACCGAGCTGAAAGTTGGCTAGAGCAGCTAGCTGACAAACACCCAGAAGTCGCTGGAAAGTTGCTGGATGTGTGGCTGGAGAGACGTACGGACCCTGGGGAAGTCTTCGAATCAATGCCCAAAGAGATGCGTGCCAGTCTTGCCACTTCATCCCAAACGAAGAAAAATCGCAAATTTATTCTGCTCATGCAATGGCTCAGGTATATTGAAAAATTCAACAACCCTCATGACCCTCAAGGCGTTGCGACTCGCCGGTTTGGTGACGATGCTGTACTTGCACTGCTGGGCAAAACAAACACTCCGGATGAGCTGATGGATTTTTTTCGTCGGCTCCAATCGGATAAGCACATGAAACGTGTCGCTGTAAGACTACAGCAATCTTCGCGCCAGTTACTAGAAGCTGCAAAACGGACTTCCTAGTTGTGAATGAAGACGAAGGGAGACCCCAAGACGTGCACCGTGTGACGCTTTGACTCCTTCGGAGTCCGATGCTGTGATACAATCAGGTAGGCGGGCTCCAATTTTTCTACTCATGCAGTGGCTAGATGTGTTGACACTTGCAGGTCTCGTGGTATAGCAGCTTTAATGTCAACATAGTACGTGGTGTGCTGTCGGCCGAAAAAGCAATTTATTGAGTGCTTCTTCGGTTTACGATGTTCTTGACACATACGAGCGCTTGGACTGACGGTTGAATGTGCGGATAAATGGTAGGTGCCATTCGTATTGGATCAGGTCTGCAACCTCCACCGTAGATTTTTGCTAAAGCTTTTCGTAAGGAATTGATAGCGAGTCATGTAATAGAGCTTGTAACGTGACGGAATCATAATGAAAACCTTCACTCTGCACAATGCCATCAATTACAATTGCACTGGTTCATCCAGCGTCATGAATGCTTAGCGTCAAAATCGTACCAGGTAGCGTGTTACGCATCAGCCGTATGCAACCTAACTCTACTAGCCGACGTTTCCAATACGCGCTTAAAGCTGGATAAGCGCTGCCTTGACTTCAGGCACGAGTACATTCGCATAAGCAATTTCATCGACCGGTTGTTTCTTAGCCACACTCTTATTGACCAACACAGCCGTATGTAGTCGCAATTCTGATAACGTGAGACAATCCGGCAGTACCCTCTACGATTACTTTGGCGGTGGACACAGGGCGCCAACAAGTAACACGCTTCCCATGTTGGTCGGTATGTGTGATTTATCTGTAGTAGGTGAATGCTCTTGAATCTCGGTGTATCGTTCGAGCTTCAGCCGGTAAATTCTCTGAGCTCATAGACTTTCTCCGTTAGCAGTTTCGAGTAGTTGCGTTCTTGATCGACGCCAGCAACATTCAATTATCCGTGCTGTATGTAGACTTTTGAACGCATTTGACACAAGGGAATGCTTCTGGTGTCATATCATTCAAGCCTCCAAATATATAAATGGAGGATCAACAATAGGGGATGATCCTCGATTAAGGTGCCCGGACAAGGGAGCTGAGTGAAGCTTTAAATGTCCACGTATTCACTTCAGATGGACGGATTAGTGGCGGGTATGTGTGCTCTTCGTATTACAATGTATCATTATCGACCACAGAGCAGCCGTTGTTGTGTGATGGAACAAATCGTTGGTGTTGCTGTAGAAGATAGATGATGCTGAGCTTGCCACACAACAACAACAGCACGACTACCGACATGGATTGGTTGATAAAAAGCTCTATCTGGTGCCGGGCGGTGAGATGTCGAAGCAATCTACTTTCAATTTTTTCGGTTTGTGAAGCGCAACTGATCGAAGACCACAACCTATCCGCTGTGCCTTGTGTTCTCGGGGGAGCTAACTTCGAATGCATCATATCGACTGTGTATTGAGCAAGCGCGCTTTCGCTGTGCACCTACATCTCATATCTGCCAGCCACACAGATGAGTATGGATAGGAAATAGTGTACAGGCAAAACACAAAGTACAGACAGTTCCAAACAACAAAATTTACCCACCAGCTGCCACACGTTATCAAATGCGCATTTACAGCGCTCGAGCTCGAACAGGAGGTACTCCTGACGCGAAAGCTCGGATCTATTCGGACAAGGTCGTGCACTTGTTGGTGACAAAGCCCACTATCGATATTCGCTTCGACCATTGAGCGCCACTAAATCAGTTGCAGTTTCATAGCAATTAACTTGGGTACGAGCACCCCATGTGTGCCAAGACATTTCCGTACGGAGCATTTTCAGTAAAGTAAAGACGCCATCCTTATAGAACATACAGTGCACGTGCCCACGGTTTCTGTAGGCAAGATGCGTGTTGCGAGAAGGAAGCGTTAGGTGAACAATAAGATTCTGTTGTATTTCCTTACTAGTTCTCTCTTCTCTGCCATGATCGCCAAAGCCCTCTGCTCCATTCATCCATCTCACACGCATTCTGGCTCTACTCGGGTCACTATCCTGCTTGTCACTCTGCTTCCACCATTTACGCACAGCGAGTTTGTGACATCAGGTTTCCAAATAAACCCCAAGTCACCGGCCGAACACTCCGATCACCGTTACGTACCCTTGCACCCATTTCCAACATTCCAACACTCCTCCTCGGTCGTGACTTGCCCTCAAACCAGTTCCATTTCTTGAGCTTGCAAATGTCCTTGTCCCTGTGCTCCTCCATCCCTGAGCTCCTTATCGCCCTTGATCGTCCTTGACCATTTCTTAACCAATGCGCACGAGTGCGCGCAGTGTCGAGAGCTTCGTCGCGTCCAACGCCTTCGTGAGGAGGTCTGCGAGCATCTGCTCCGATCTGACGTAGCTCGCCGTGATGACGCCATGACGCGAGTAGTCGCAAAGAAACTTAAGGCGCACATCCACATGTTTTGCCTTCAGCGACTATGCCTCTCCCGCAATCTGCGCGATCGCCGCTTGGTTGTCCACCCGCAACTGCATCGGAAGCGTGGGCTCCACGCCCACTTCGCACAACATCTCGCGCAGGCCGAGCAGCTCGCGCGCGACTTCACTCGCCGCGACAAATTCCGCCTCCATCGTCGACAGGGAGACGCCTCTCTGCTTCCGCGCACCCCAGCTGACGGCCATCCCGTTCAGCATCACGATGCCGCCCGTCATTGACTTCCGGTCCGTCTTGTCGGCGGCAAAGTCGGCGTCGCTGAACGCTTCTAGTCGCATCGCCGCACCTAAATTGTCTTCTGCGATCATCGTGATCTTAAGCGCCGCCGTACCCTTGAGGTATCGCGCGATGCGTTTAGCTAACTTCCAGTCTGCTAGTCGAGGCGCATGGGCTCGTCTCGTGACCTTGTGCACCGCAAACGCTATGTCAGGGCGCGTGCAACGCGCCACCCAGAGCAGCGAGCCGACCAGCGACTGAAACTGGCGCACAGTCGGTCCTAATTTCGCGCTTGGCGTCCCAAGAAGCTCCGCGTCGCCCTCCTCCAACTCGTAGCAGCTGTCGTCGATCGGCGTCCACGTCGAGTTGGCGTCAGCGAGTCCGTTGTCGCGTAAGAGGTCTCTTATGGCCTCCTCCTGATCGAGCGTGTACCCATTCTGACCGTTGTGCGTCACGCGCATTCCCAGGAACTTGCTGACACGCCCCAGGTCCTTGATCGACAACGACGCGAGGCTTGCAAAGAACCGCTCGACCGCCGCCGCGCTCGTCCCTGTCGCTAGAAGATCGTCGACATACACGCCGACCACGACGAGGTCGTCGCCGTCGCGCTTCCAGTAAAAACACATGTCGCTCTCACACCGCTTGAAACCGGCAGTAGAGAGCTTCGAGTGCAGCAGCTGGCTCCACAGCCGGCTTGCCTGCTTGAGCCCGTAGAGGCTCTTCCGCAGCTCCAGCACCAGCTCGCTCGTGTTCGAAACACCTTGCGCTCGTAGCGTCTCCTTCGAGACTGGCATGCCGCGCGGCATCTGTAGATAGATGCGCAGGTGCGGCTCCTTGTCCGCTTTAACGTAGGCGTTGGGGATGTCACCGTGCTTGGCAGGCACCCCCCACGTAGCCGCAAGCGCCAGGATCACTTTGACCGTCGATAGGTCCATCACGGCAGCGAAGGTGAGCGTGTAGTCGACGCCAAGCACCTGTTCGTTGCCACACGCCACCAGTCGCGCTTTCAGCCGCTCGAGGTCGCCCTGTGCATCTGTCTTGGTCTTGTAGACCCATTTTGTGTGCAGCGCATGCTGTCCTGCCGTTCGCCTTGTAATAGTCCAGACGTCGTTGGCCTCGAGCGCGGCGATCTCCTCTTGCATCGCCTTCTTCCACCCTTCGCGCTTGCTGCTGAGCATCGCCTGTCCGTAGTTAAGCGGATCATGCTCGAAAGCAGCATTTACGACTTCTCCGCTCGCGGCTGTCTCCTCCTGACGAGCAGCCGCTTCTGCGCGTTTCAACGCCCCGCGTGTTCCATGCGCCTTTCGCGTCCATCTCTTTCTGCTTTTACGCGTCTCCCGGTTGCCCTCTGCGCGACCATCGTTCGCCACTGCTGCTGCTGGCGCGTCCGTCTCCTCCTGGCCTCCGGCTCGATCGCCGATGTCCATCGCGCGCTGGAGTTGCGCGTTTTGCGCCTCCGTCAGTGTCTCGATATTCTTGATGTGCTGCGTGACGACCACTTTATTGTCACGCGGCAGCAGCACCTTGTAGCCCTTGGTTTCCTCGCTGACGCCGACAATGATGGCGCGCCCCGAGCGCTGCAGCAGCGAGTTCTTGCGCGGGTCTCTATACACGCTGCACTGGGAGCCAAAAACGACAATTCCACGCAGATCCGGCGTCTTGCCCGTCAGCACCTCGAGTGGTGACGCTCTCTTTGCGTTAGCTCGCGTAGGGCTCCGGTTGAGGATGTGAACGGCGTATAGTACCGCGTCTCCCCAGAACATCAGGGGCAGCGCGCAGGCAAACATCATGCTGCGCGCAAGGTTCAGCACTGTCCGGTGCATTCGTTCCGCCTTGCCGTTTGAGGCCTGATTTCGCGCCTCCGACACTTGGCGCGCGACGCCCGTGCGCTCGCAGAACAGGTCCACGTTGGCGTATTCTCTGCCGCCGTCCGTGCGGAGCACGTGGACCTTGAACCCGAAAAGCTTCTCGAAGTGGACGAGGAACGCCTCGAACTGCCTCGCCGCAGCGTCCTTCGTGCGCGCGAGGAAGACTCGGCAGTAGTTGCTCTTGTGATCAACGAAGTTCACAAGGTAACAATTGCCGAGTCGGTCCCGCGGCGTCATTGGACTCTTCAGATCCGAACAGATGACGCCTCCGATGCGATCGATGGGCGAGTGCTTGCCGCTGTCTTGTTGGGACTGCGCGTTGCGCGTCTGCTTGCCCTCGATGCACGACACGCACGCCATACGCTTGTTGTTGCTGAGCCGAATGCCCGATGCCGGATCGCGCGCCATGCGTTCGATCGTGTCGAACGCAAGGTGGCCGAGTCTCTGGTGCCAGTGCAACAGCGAGGCTTCGTGCGGCTCATCGGCGTTGGTTTCCGTTGCATGCGCTTCGAGCGCCGCCATGATCGCGTCTCCGCCTGCACCTTCCTTGTCGCGCGTGGCCTTTGTCACGACATACAGCACGTTGCTGTCGATTGTGACATCGAACGCGACCGCACCATCTCTGCACCGAGCGAGCGAGCGCCTTTTGCCGGAGTGCACTAGGGCAAATCCTTTGTTGGCGAGCTTGCCGTACGACACAATGTTCTTTGCCAGTCGCGGCGCCAAGTACACATCCGTGAGCGTCACTACCGCTTCAGCGCCGCGCGCAAGAACCTCGAGGCGCACGCTGCCGACACGCGTCAGGTGAAGCGACTCGCCGTCTGCCATCGCAATTTCGTGGCTGCAAGCCGTCGACTTGAGCAGTAGCGACTTGTCGTTGACAAGATGCCGGCTCGCGCCGCTATCGAGGATCCAGTCTCCTCGGTCGACGCCCGTGGCATCGGTCGCCGCATGTACGAGGCCGCTCGTGCCGTCCGTGGCTCTTACTCCGTCGCTCGTCGTAAGCACGAAGCCGCATGAGTCGTCTATGGTTCGCGCCCCATCACTTACATTGGTCGCTGCGGCGTCCTTGCCGCTCGAGCCCTTCTTCCTCCTGTTGCGCTTCTTCGTGGTCGCTCTGCGCTTCTCGGTCAGCGCAAGGATCATGCTGGCGCCTCCACCCTCCGCGGGTGTCTCGTCTTCGTGCACGACTCGCGCGCGACAGTTGGCTGCGATGTGGCCTGGTCGCCCACATCGGTAGCACGTGATCGCGCCCTTGGGTTTGCCTTCCACGTGCGCGGCGACGACCTCACGACCCACCGCGCTGCTGCCGTGCTCAATGGACTGCGCGAAGTGCGCCAGCTCCTCAGCATGGCGCAGGTAGTCGAGTCGAGTGGGCTCATACTTGGAGCGCATCACGTTCACCAGCTCCGGCGAAGCGTGCTGGACGATGTTATCAAGAACAAGCGAGTCGGCACCACCGCGTGCCTCGCTGACGGCGACCATGTACAGGAAGTGCTCGGCCCAGGTGCGTCGTGCGTCCTTCTTGGCCATGAATAACTTCATCGCCTGCCTGCAGTGATTGACGTCTTGAACGTGCGCAGGAGCTGCTCCATGATGTACTCCAGTGTGGGTGATTGCGTCCACCAGGTATCGACCTGCTTGTGATAGTACCTCTCAGCCGTGCCGGCGAGAAAGTGCCCAAGCAGGTCGACCTTGACGTCTTCGGTCCATCCGAAACCACACGACGCTTCCGCGAGGCTCACCGCGCGCAGAAACGTACGCCCCCAGTCAAAGAATCCGCTCCCGAGTCCGCGGTACAGCTCCGTACCATCGAACTTGCGTATGTTCAACTTCCGCTGGCTAGCGGACGGCATCCCGTAGCCGTTGAGGCCCGGTCGCACATAGGCTTGTGGCGGAGCGAATTGTTGCGGCGGAGGTAGCGCTGCATGCTCCTGCGGAGGTGGCGCAGACGCTGGTGCGCGCTGCTGCAGCTGCGGTGCTGCGCGCGCGCGAGGTGGCTCGAGCGATGCGAATCGCGACGCGCCAAGATCAGTCGCGCGCTGGTACCCACGTGGCACCGGTGCCTTCTCCTCCGCGTCTCCGATCGCGTCTATCGTCATCGGTCGGCCACGCATGTTGGCGCCGAGTTTCGAGGCGAACAGTCCGCTCTCCACGGCCCCGATGTAACGGGGCACCCTGAAGCTTGTACTGGTGACAGTACAAGCTACTTATTCTGATAACAGAATAAGGCGGTGCCTCGTAACTTCACGTACACTCGTACGTGCAGAGGAAGACGGTAAGAAGAAGCGAGTACTTGGTTAAAGTAAAAAGTAGAACTGTATTTATAATAGTTAATGTCTGCAATAAATCACTATTTATCTTCATCTAACTATGTCTAAATACAAATGTGTAAATCAGTTATCTGCTCACCACTCATTGCGTGCGTCTGTCGTGGCGCGTCTTCGTTGGTTGATATAATGGCCTATATCAACCAATTAGGAACTACTTGTAAGTGCTACAGAATATTTGTCCTTATGACAATATTCTGAGAATATAACTCTTATAGTTATATTCTATTAACAATTTCTTATAAATTGTTATGTAACGATTCACCCCGTTACATCACCCCCCCTTAACCATCAGTCACTTTAGTGACTGATTGACTAAATGGATACTCGTCCCAAATCATTTGGGACAGGGTTTGCACTTGTTGGTCCGCGTCCACTTTCCAACATTTCATCGCATGGTAAACAAGCCCATGCGATGCGCGAGCAAGGCCGCCGAGAGCGCGTCTGCACGTCTCTGTGCGGACGCCGAAGCAGAAACAACAGCAACTGATGTCTCATCAGTTGCTGAATCGACCCAGCCTGTGTCACTTGGTGACGCAGGCGCTAGTCATGAAGACACTCTTGTCTTCACAGAGTATGAGCTCGGTGTCTCATACTCTCCTGATACGGATGACGGATCCGTATCGACGGCAATTGAATCCAAGCCGCCTGCCAAGCGTGGCATGGACGATGCTTTGCGTCGCAGCATCTTTGGTTCATCTGATGAGTCAGATGAACCATCGCCGAAGCGAAGGCGCTCGAGGTCGCGAGACTCGGGCGCTAATAGTGGTGTCGGTTCTCCAATGGACACCACTTCACAGCGAGGTGCCAGTACTTCTGTCGGCACGTCGCAGGAAGAGCGGGACCGCAATGTGTTGCGTCTCGCTCCAGAAAAGAAGGCATGGATGCCTCCTAAATCTGTCATGGATCACTTGTCGGCGACGACGAGTGATCGTTATCGAACACGATTGTTCGATTCGTCGAGGATTCATCACCTTGACCCCAGCGCGAAAGACTATCACACTGAGAATGAGTTCTTCATCGATGCTTTCTTCAGACATCGATGGTACAGTGGGAATCACAAACGTGATGGTCCCTCACTACTTCAGGCGTGGAACGCCTACATCCATAATCTCGAGGATGTAGGTCGTGACGCTTGGAACGACAAACTTATCAAAGCTCGTGATAAGTTTGAAAAGCGAACCCCGACAGGTGCACGCTACAAGCTGCATCGTCTGTCAAGGGAGAAAGGATTACCCTGCCTCTCTTGGGGAGACTCGTGCCCATGTTGTGTGAACAACTCTGCACGAGCACCTAAGGAGGCTTACCTCCTTACCAGCCCGTGGTGGCGCGTACGTGTCTCTACTGAGATGTACGAAGGGATTGACAACCTGAAATCCCTTTACGACCGTGCCGGGAAGACTTTCTCCGGCGGTCCTTCTGCGGCACAGGATGTGTCGCGTCGTACTGCTCGACCAGACCCAGTACGTCAACCATCAATTGGGAGCGGGGCTCCCAAGAATCCCAGGACGGGGGATAGCCGCGCCACCGGACGAGGTAACTCGTCCGACGTCCGTTCACGTCGCGGTGGTTCAACAGCTGCTCTACTAGATAGCGCTGGCCACCGCGAGAGTCCTCTAATGGAGGTGGAGGAGGAGGAAAGACGCTCTCCACACGATCATGTGGATCGGTGTGTTCCCGAGAGCTTCTTTGATCGCGTAACGCAAGGGTTACGCGACGATCTCGAGCATGAGCGGAATAGGCGTCTCCAGATGGTGGACACTGCCTCGAAGCATCGAGCTGAGTTTGCCTTTGCTCAGCTTGAGAACGAGAGATCTCTGACATCTCTTCGTGACGAGCTAAGGGTAGCTCGTGGGATTGTTGATCGGTCTCGGGCTGAGATAACTGCTCTTCAGACCCTTGTTGATGCCCACCATCGGGAGCACAAGGCTCTCTGCGAGATGCTTGAGCGCAAGGGCGTTCTTCATCGGAAGAAGCAGCGTACTGATGGTACGGCTTAAGCCGACCAACGTAAAACGTGGGATGCGTTCGCATCTTACGTGGTAACTCGATCGTGTATGCATTGCCTAGGCGGTGCAATACACGAAATGGGCCAATGTACTTGGGTAGTAGTTTACTGCTACCCAAGTTAGTCACTACATGTTTTGGTAGATTAACCGTAGACAGTAGGACTAAGTCACCTTTATTAAATAAAAGAGTGTTTGCCCTTCCATTCTTGTCAGCGTTTTGCTTTTGCTTATCCACCGCTTCGGCGATGGAGTCTTGCACAAAACGGACTACCGTTTCACGAGCCAGTATGAACTCATCTGATGACTCGTTAGCTTCAGTGTGCTGTGAGCGCACTGCAGCGACAACAACCTTTTCTTCAGTGAGGGCTTCCGCACTCTCACTGGGATCATTGTCTTCAGTGAGGGCTTCCGCACTCTCACTGGCATCATCTTCTTCGATATCGATGTTATCGATATCGGCATCAAACGCAATGACTTCTTCGTCAGAGCGTGATGAGCGTGAACCAAATCGGTTTTTGCTCGCGCGAGTCCCTCCCCCCCTTAAACCAGAGTTACACTCGAGTAAGGTGGGTACACGCGGATGGCGCAAGCCATTCACGTAAAACGGTGTATGTGTCGTGGACGCATGCACCGAGTTGTTGATGGCAAACTCTACCATCGGCAAAAACTCACTCCAACTCTTAAAGGAGTGTACGTATCCTCGAAGTATCTCTTCAAGGACACGATTGGCACGTTCCGTCTGACCATCTGACTCTGGATGATCAGATGTCGACATCTTCAAGCGCGTTCCGAGTGATTTGAACACGGAACGCCAGAAATCAGCAGTGAATCGTGGATCTCTGTCTGATACGAGTTCACGGGGCAACCCATGAAGTCGGAAGATGGTGTCAATAAAGACACAAGCACAGCCACTTGCCGTGATTGTCTCTGGTACAGCCACAAGGTGTACCATTTTGCTGAGTCTGTCAACAAATACGAGAATACCCGTATTCCCGCGTGCGTCTTTGGGTAACCCGAAGACGAAATCCATTGAGATGGATTCCCAGCACTCAGCCGGAACCGGTAGAGGCTGTAAAGGTGCACGCAGTGAAGGACTTGACTTCACTCGTTGGCAGACTTCGCATGCGCGAATATACTTTCGCACAAACTGATACTGGCGGGGCCAGTAAAAGTCTCGACTTACCGTGAGATATGTTTTCTCTCGGCCACGATGTCCTCCTATAGGAGCATCGTGATACTCGAACATGATCCGCAAACGCAGATCAATATCATCTGGAATGACAACACGTGGTGTGTCACCAGAAACGGCTGTATAGTACAGTAAACCGTTACGAGTAGTGTATCGATCTGATGCAGATCGATACGCAGACGACAATCGTTTCAACGATTCTTGAGATGGTTGGGAGAGATGTGACAACAACTTCACTATCTCACCATCTTGGGCGTATGCCCGCCTCACATCATCATACAACGTTGTAGATGGAACTGAGGACGTCATAACCGCAACAGTGACTGTCTCACTGTTGGGTTTCGCGACTGTTTCAAAGTCGGGACGACGTGAGAGTGCATCAGCGACGACATTAAGTCGTCCTGGTTTGTACTCGACCGTAAAGTTGTATTCTGCAAAGAATGACAACCACCGCGCCATTCGTTGTGAAAGGTGCGGGCTGTTCACTGCCGTGCGTAAGGACGCATGGTCAGTGTAAACAACGAAGGGTCTATCTCCTAATAGATAGACTCTGAACTTCGCGAGTGCATACTTCATGGCAAGGATTTCCTTGTCATGCACTGGATAGTTCCGCTCAGCTGGTTGCAGCTGACGCGACTGATAGCAGACGACGCGTTCAACGCCTTCAAGGTCGTACTGCATTAATGCACAGCCGATTGCGAAATCGCTGGCATCACAGACCACATGAAATGGCCTGTCCTGATCGGCTATCGCTAGGACTGGGGATTGTATCAAGCTCTGCTTGATACCCTCAAAGGAGCGTTGACATTCAGCGTTCCATAACCACCTCTCGTTCTTTTTCAACAAACGAGAGAGGTGTACAGTCATCTCGGCGTAATTGCGTGAATACTTATGCAAATACGCCGCTAGCCCAAGGAATTTTCGAAGACCTTTGACATCGACCGGCACAGGCCAGTCGGTGATCGCCTTGATCTTTTCGGGATCAGGACGTACACCGTTCTTACCAACGATGCACCCAAGAAGTGGTATTTCGCTTGCTGCAAATATACACTTCTTGAGGTTAGCATACAATTGATGCTTTCGCATGATTGTAAGAACTTGTCGGACGTGGTACCTGTGAACCTGAACGTCCGACTTTCCATCCATAGCTCGACTATGGATGAATACGTCATCGAAATAACTCGGCGCGAACTCTCGTACTGGTCTCAACAGATGTGATACACATCTGTTGAACGTGGCAGGGGCATTACTGAGCCCTTGTGGCATTACTAGCCATTCCCAGAGCATGCCGCTAGGCGTGCTAACTGCGGTATAGGGTATATCCCGTTCCCGCATTAGGATTTGATAGAAGCCATCCATCAAATCCATGGACGAAAAGATGGTACTCTTTGACATACCATCAATGATTACGTCCTTCCTCGGTATCGGCGTCTGAGCCGGTACCGTTGCAGCGTTCAATTTGTTAAACGCGTGCACTATCCGCCACCCTCCTGTTGCTTTTCGCACACAGAAGGTCGGAGAGCTATGTGGGGAAGTTGATTCCCTCACATGGCCCGCTGCTAAACGATCGGCAAAGAACTTGTCGATCGCAAGTACTTGTTCACGAGGCAGTGGCCACTGCTTCATGACACAGTACTTCGAGCCTGGTTTAAGCTCGACTTCGTGTCGAATACCTTTATCCTTCGGTAATTCGCACGGAACAGTTTCAGGGAATACATCCTTGAATTCAACCAAATCTTCATAGAGAGGATTTTCCTTGAGCGATTCCCATGATTGGGACTCATATCGCTCAATTCGTGTCTTTTCATCTAGGACACTCTCGTCCATAGATGAACTACTGAGAACCCTCTCGTTCTCAGTAAACACTGTTGCTGACCTTATGTCGGTTACATACTCGTCGTCAGCGACGAGTATGCAGATCTGCTTGACTTTGCCACTACGCAGATCACGCAAGAACCTTTTATGTTCGAGCGTTGGCAACTGAGTGATCTCCGAAGTTAACTTCGGAGGCGCAATCAGATCAAGTGTATAAGCGCCTACACATGATCCGTTATTGACTATGACATTCAATGTCTCTGTCATTTCCTGGGGACTTATTCCCTCAGGCCTCGAAGGACTTATTCCTTCGTCTTCCCGGGGACTTATTCCCGCGGGTTTCGGGGAACTTATTTCCGCCGTATTTGTAATCTTGGGACTTATTCCCTTTACTTCCTCTAGCTGGGGTTGCGCAACCACAGCGAGATCCTCTACGAAAGACTCTCCAGTCGATCTAGGATTATCGTTTCGCTTAACCTGAGCGATCGATTGTTTCTCTTCTAGATGTTCCCCTCTAGGAATACATCTTTGTCCCAGTCCACCCGACTTATTCGAGTGGTGGACCTTCGGCGCAGCCTGTGTTTCCTCACAGCCGCCGGAACTTTGCTCCGAAGTGTAACCGTTTGGTACACTAAGGTTTTGTGCAGTCGTACTAACGACCGTACCACAAGTGAGGCCATCGCACTCACTCGTAGTACATCCACACGCTTGTGGACGCTCCAAAACGTTCATCAGATGGCCATCTGATGAACAAGCGGCAGGCATCGTTACTGTCCGATGTTGCCAGTTTACCCGTGGTTCGTACCTTCTGAGCCACGGTATTCCAAGGATGACATCAAATTTGTCATCCAAATCCAATACGATAAAGTCATCGTCGTATTGGGTATCTTCTAGTGTATAGTGAATCTTCACTATACGCTTCATGACGGTTACGGATGCGCCTGTCGCAAGACGTACCGTCATCCTCGTAGGAGGTGTGTCACATTCACTGAATTTAAAGTGACCATCTTCTAGCGATTGGCGTCGCACAAAATTGTTGGACGCCCCACAATCGACTAGAGCTCGAAGGGACAACTTATTCGTCACTTCGAGTTTCAAGGTAATGAGTGAGATCTCATTACCTAGAGCAGCAACGCACAATGTCTGTGTGTTGGGAGCAACCTTCATCAAGAGGCCTACAAATTCTCTTGACGTTGCTGGATCAGTAGGGTGCTCCGCACCTACTGATCCTGTCCGTTTTTTGACGGTCCATCCCGTTGTTGCGTCTTTGCACCAACTGCGGACCCTCGTCCCTGCCCCTTTCTCATGGGTGGACGGTCACTACGCCCAGTGTCGCGAGACACTGGACGAGGGGCACTACACTCGTAAGCGTAGTGTCCTGTCTTCTGACATCTGTTGCATCTCTGCAACTTCTTGTAGCCTGTAGAGCGAACCTTCTCGCTCTCTACATAACAGAGTTCCATCGGCTCTGAACCTCCGTTGTCATATCGTCTCGGTTGACGATATGATGTCGAGCTGGCGCGAGCCTGTCTCAGACTGAAGTCTTCCTGCTCCGCAATGGAAATGGCTTGTTCTAGTGAATCTAGTTCAAGCCGGAACAGGTGAGTCTTGACGGGACCATCCGCAAGACCCTGCATGAACACCGAAACCAACGTGTGTTCATCCACTGGATTGGAACTTATACAACTCGTAAGATGTCGTATGTGTTGAGCGTAAGCGTGCACATCACGCTTACCCTGCTTGAGCTTCAAGAGTTCGGTTCGAGCCCTGAACTCAGCTCTAGGCGGTTCAAACGTTTGTCTGAGCCGCGACTTGAAGACTTCCAACGACCCAAACGCATATGGGTCGTGCAGCTTGAGCCCCAGTGCCCAAGTCTTGGCACGTCCTGCCAGATTTGATTGGGCAAATGCAACTTGCATATCCCCGTCGTCGATGCGACGCGCCCTTATGGCGTCATCCAATTCGACGAACCATCTCAAGAGGGAGTCTTCTTCGACCCCTCTATACTTTGAGATGTCAATCTTCAAAGTCTCGGGTCGACGCGAGTGCATCGACCCGCCAGCAGCAGCCTGCTGCTGTCTCAACAGTTCAAACTGTTGAGCACCTTGTTCTCTCAACAACTCTGCTTGTTGAGAACCTTGTTGGTGAAGCAAGGCTACTTTCTCGCGTTCTGCGTCAAGTTCATTTTGAATGAACTTGGCGATAGTAGCATGTTGGGCATCTCTATTGAGAGCCTCTAGCATGACGCTAACAGCATGGATGCCCATGGTCGAACCCATTCGTTCAACCGCATCCCATTCGACATCGCTCAAATGGGAGTAGCCGTCACGCGTAGCGTGAAAGCTTTGGTCATCTTCATCATCCAACATATTCATGTTGGATGTGAACGCGGTCCTTGGACGGACTACGAAGTGCTACCAGGTGTAACGGGGCACCCTGAAGCTTGTACTGGTGACAGTACAAGCTACTTATTCTGATAACAGAATAAGGCGGTGCCTCGTAACTTCACGTACACTGGTACGTGCAGAGGAAGACGGTAAGAAGAAGCGAGTACTTGGTTAAAGTAAAAGTAGAACTGTATTTATAATAGTTAATGTCTGCAATAAATCACTATTTATCTTCATCTAACTATGTCTAAATACAAATGTGTAAATCAGTTATCTGCTCACCACTCATTGCGTGCGTCTGTCGTGGCGCGTCTTCGTTGGTTGATATAATGGCCTATATCAACCAATTAGGAACTACTTGTAAGTGCTACAGAATATTTGTCCTTATGACAATATTCTGAGAATATAACTCTTATAGTTATATTCTATTAACAATTTCTTATAAATTGTTATGTAACGATTCACCCCGTTACACCCGAGCATGCGCTCCTCCTCGTCTCGCACTCTCTGCGACGACTCGAGGCTCGCCAGTCGATCGGTGAGTGCGGCGAGCGCGGCGAGGATCTTATCGTCTCGCTTCCCGCTCTCGCGAGCGGGTGCGGTAGGCGCACGCGCTGGCGAGCCGCGCCCGGGCGTGGCTCGCGGGACACCCCCTGGTGTCTTCGTAGTCGGTTCGGTGGTTGCGGCCATTGGGCTCATAACCTGTAGGCAAGATGCGTGTTGCGAGAAGGAAGCGTTAGGTGAACAATAAGATTCTGTTGTATTTCCTTACTAGTTCTCTCTTCTCTGCCATGATCGCCAAAGCCCTCTGCTCCATTCATCCATCTCACACGCATTCTGGCTCTACTCGGGTCACTATCCTGCTTGTCACTCTGCGTCCACCATTTACGCACAGCGAGTTTGTGACATCAGGTTTCCAAATAAACCCCAAGTCACCGGCCGAACACTCCGATCACCGTTACGTACCCTTGCACCCATTTCCAACATTCCAACAGTTTCCGTAAAGGCAAGTTGCTGCGTTGAAAAGCTAGCTGTGTGTACCAAAGAGCTATATAAAAGGTGTGGGTCAATAGGGCGGTGTCGTGTCTGAAAGGCCGTCAGCGTACTTGTCTAACACTAAACAGTCATTATGGCGAAGCGGCCGCGGGACGTCGTGGCTGAAACCTAGTAAGAAAGACTAAAATAGGTAGATTTGATGCTATTTCACCGTGCTATACAATGGCTTGGACACCGTCGCTGAACACATCGACATTGAGGCCTTGTGTGGAATTTGCACTGTAAGTCTAATGGTAGTCGACGCGAAGGCTCTACGCCGGCATGTTTAGCTGAGGGCGATGGGCCTTTTTAGCATTGCAGAGTTCGTATGAGTAAAAATATCTTGCATGCGAAGCCGACAAAATCCGATGACTTTGAGAACGAAGAGAATAAGGGCAAGGGAGAGCTTCGGGGACATTGGTTCTGGTACCTTGACGGTCATCTTGCTTTCGAGATAAGTGTACGACAGAAAACCGTAGTGGTGTTGCGTAGCACTATCAAATTCCGTCTATGGTGATATCATCGCCTATGTCGAAGGCAGCGTATCCCCGCAGTTCAAACGACCGCGACGAAGGTCAACAGCGATGGTCCTTGGATAGCAGCTTTATGTCACACAAACAGCCGGATAGCTTGGCAGCAAGTTGTAGATTATTCTCGTGCCTGCAGCAACATCATGATTGCTGTGCTCGTGCTGACTACGCAGCGCCACTGTCTTGAGGTTTGCAATGTTTTTGATGCCTTGACCACCTCTGCCTAGCTCATAAGACTTTTCGGTCTGTCTTCAGTTGCGTTGCTGCGACCTCTGAGGTGCTTTTCTTTCTCAAAAGCATTCGTCCTCGTAGCTCCGACAGCCGATGCTATGATGTGATCCCCAAGCAGCCCGTTTTGTTCTTACCTGATTATTTGTACTACGGTTTTCTGCAAGAGCCTTGAATGCAAGTGCTGCTATATCGTAAGCGATGTATCAAATTACAACAAACTCACGAACCTCCTGACAGGAAGCGAATTAATCACGTGAATCGTGTCGGAGGCCAATTGCAACATCTTCTTGACCTCAAGCGCCTATTTGGGCTTCACGTCGGCCGTTGCGATCATCATTTCGTTACATCAAGTTAACCAGGCGCTCTCACTGTACGCACCAGCGACAAAAAGGGGATACACTGCTCGCCTTGACTCGGGTCGAACGCACGCCAGTGCCTTTAGCCGATCTTTGCTACTCCCTGGTCAGATAGTCCTCGGTGTTACGACTTGCAGCATATGGTCAATTGAGCCTCAGTTGTGAATAAACGCTCTAACACATCTACGTTTCAGTTCACGCACAAACCGTACCAAGGGTCAACGTTGGCTACCATGACTTCGAAGCATCATCACAGCGACTCACGCTAGAATGCCGAGTTCTTGATACCAGTCAACCAGTTGTGCCGCGACAGCCAAAAAAAGCTGAGGCACATACACACAGCCTGCTGCTGGGGGTAAAGACAAGTCCATCACATCATCTCTGGTCAGTCTCTGGTTACATGACGTTTTTTTTTCGAGATGGCACGTATCAAGCTAAGAGTGTCATGTGGAAAACCTGCCACTGTTTCAAAATGATGCCTAAGCTTTTTGTCCATTTCAGCTGACCTCTAAATGAGCCTTAGCGGAATCCTAAACTCTTAACGCAGTGCCACTACCACACTCACTTGACATGCGAGTGCAATTAAAGCCGTACTCAAACCTCCACAAGGACGCCGCCGCGCAATGCCAATTGAATTTTCGCTTTCTTAAGAAAGCGATTTGGTAATAATGTTGTTAGCATGCCGACTGCGAGCGTTGCACATCGTTAAAACATTCCTGCCGTGGTGATTAAACAGCAACCACACTGCTTCAGTCCGGCAATGATTCTCTGTGCGTCTATCAGACACGCACCTCACGCCGCCTTGTATTTTTCTATTATCCTCATCCGCAATGTACGAACCTCATGGAGCTTGGTCTTGCAATCGCCGGATTACACTGCACTCTCGCTCAGTCCCTCCTGGATACCGGCAACAACTTGGTGGTACTGTGGAAAGCGAGGGATATCTCCTGAGTACACAAGGCTCGGTGGGTGCTTCATGGCCTCTCTCACGACTCGTTGGATATCAGCAGCAGTGACACGGTCAATCTTGACACATACAGATTCAGGCGTCTCACGCATTCCATACGTAAGCAGCTGACGACCAATGTCTTCGTACAGGATCATACGAGACTCGAGGTTCATGAGCACAGACGATTTCAGTTGGTTTTTAGCCCGGGCAAGCTCAATCGCATCGACCGGTTGCTTAGCGACGCCAAGCATCTGATTGCACAAAAGCGCCACGAGGTTGCTAGTGTGCGACGGAATACAAGCACCATATATACCCAAGAGGCCAACGTCCGCATGTATGGACGAGAACGCAAAAGCCGATTCGACCCAATAAAAGCGATTCAAGACGCTCGTGTACAACCGCGAGTACATGCCTTTCCCCGGACCTCCAGCAGAAAAGCTGTCTCCACCGCCCAACAACGTGTGCAAGACACAAATAGGCACCAGATCTTCATCATGCCAGCCGCCTGTAGGAAACGCCAAGGCAGCGTACGAGAATTCCGACTCGGGTTTCGAAAGCGGATACAGTCCGCCAGTGTAGACCACCGGCTCCACCACTTTTCGCTTCACCGGCGTCGTCATCTGCGTGTCCGATATAGCGACTGAGACATTTGCAAAGAGCTTTTCCGCGTGCTTGACAAGTCGCGCGTGGTCCACTCCCGAGCCAGCCAGCACCATCTTATGAGCCACAAAATGCTCAGCGCGAAACTTCTGGACCTTATCCACCGTGAGTGCGTCAATCTTGTGCAATGGACACTGAAGTGGCCGTCCAAGCGGCTTATCTACACCATATGCTGCCGCATGAATAAACTCCTGCAGCATCGCCTGTGGGTTCTCCATCAACTCTTCCGTCTGGATCCGCATGACAGCCTTGATGCTCTCCATCTCCTCCGGTAACAACTCGACGTTTAAAATCGCGTCGGCCAGCAGCTCGAGACCTTTTTCAACATTGTCCCGCAGCAAATCAATCGTGTAAATAATTTGCTCGCGACCAGAGGACGATGTCGTGAGCGCGCCAATGTCCTCGACCTCCCGCACGAGCTCCGCATGCGAGCGTAACGTGGTGCTCTTGAAGCCTAAATGCTCCAGCAAATGGGTCACCCCCACACTCTCGTCACACTCGTCGCGACTGCCGGCGTCAATAAAGAGTCCGAGCGTCGCTGCTTGGCCGTACGTCTCGTGCGAGATGACGCGCAGACCAGAGGGCAAAAGCGAGATCTTCGTCTCGGGCGCTTTCAATTGGCTCGCGGGTTTAAGCGTCGGAAGTCCCGGTAGCTCCTGGTCGAGGGCGAGCTGCGATTTGATTGGTGGAAATACGTCCGGTCGCAGAATACCCGCAGGGTCGACGCTCCGAGTGGGCGCACGCGCTTGAGACAGCGCACGCACCGGCACTTGCGTCTTTAGTGTGCAGAGAGACGGCGCAGCGCGGCGCAGAGTGGCACGTGCAGCCAGCAGCGCAGCGCGTCGCAGCGGCTCGAGCGATCGCAGCGACGACAGCATGTTTGTGATTGGGCGTGGAGCGGTCTATTTCATGTGGTGCACTCCATTTTAGGGAAGACGTGGTCGGCTTTGGATTGGTCCCGGCGCCCCAGCACCAGTCATTTTGAAGCCATGGCGGGCAAACGCAAGAAGACGCACTGGGCCGTGCGGCGCAAGCTCAAACGATCGCGTGGCGACGGTCTACGAAATGGTGATGAGGAAGGAGACGGCGACAGTGGGAATGAGCAGAAAGACCACCGTGCCACTCGGTCAGAGGCGGTCCACGCTGGCTCCTACGCGGCGCAGCGTGTCCGCGTCGTATCGACCGATACAAAATCACTGCCGCCCAAGCGTCGCTATGGTCTGTGGGTTGCTTTCTGTGGTAAAAACTACAGCGGAATGCAGATGAATGAAGGCGTGAAGACCATTGAAGCAGAGATCGAGCGGGCTTTGTTTGAAGCTGGCGGCATCGCCGAGAGCAACTATGGTTTCTTGCAGAAGATTGGCTGGAGTCGAGCGGCTAGAACGGACAAGGGTGTGCATGCTGCTGGTCAATTGCTGACAGCCAAGCTTCATGTGGAGGAAGGTGATGAGAATGTATTGGCTTTTGTAGCTAAGGTGAATAGCGCTCTGCCAACGGATATTCGGGTGCTGCAGATGGTGACGGTCACCAAGAACTTTAATGCAAAAATGATGTGTGACCAGCGCACCTATGAGTACTTGGCGCCTACGTTCATTTTTGCTGAACGGTCACGTCGTGCACGGTTAGGCGAAGGAAAGACATGTCAAGACGACAGAGAGCAAGAAGCGACCCAATGGACGACGGATGCGCACGATGTGGAGACAGACAAAAGCGACGAAATCGCAATTGACAGCTCGACGCTCGAGACACACAAGGCCTTCCGAATGAATGAAGATACGCTGAGAGTGCTTGACTCGACGTTGCAGCACTTTGTCGGAACTCATAATTTCCACAACTTTACATCGAAGTTGGAGCCCACGAATCCACAGGCGAAGCGCTTCATCATTTCGTTTGGGGTTGACCGACCGTTTGTGCAAAATGACATGGAGTGGGTGCGCTTACGTGTGGTTGGGCAGAGCTTCTTACTGCACCATATTCGCAAGATGATCGGCACTGCTGTGGAAATCGTTTCGGGTATTTGTGATCCATCAACTATTGAGCGCGCAATGCAGCTGACGAAGATGGACTTGCCGAAAGCTCCTAGTTTGGGATTGTATTTGGCACAAGCTCACTTTGAGGTGTACAACTCAAAGTTGGCGGATTCGATCCAGACCTCACACCCGTTGCTCAATTTGAAAGAACCAGCGGTCGCGGAAGCGGTGGAGCAATTCAAGCGTGACTTTATCTTCGACCACATCATAAAGCACGAAGAGAGCACCCGCACTTATGCAAAGTGGTTGCGGACTATGGAAGTACTCCCATTTGACTACAGTTCGAAGCCCTATTTGGAATGGAAAAAGGAGAAAGAAGCCGAAGCTACTCGTACAGACCGTGCTGGCCGACGTGAATTGGCAAAGTTAGCGCGCACGGAAGCTGTTGGTCATGCAGATGCTAGTTCGGAGGCAGAATAAGTTTGAAAAGTTGAGATCCCGGGGCTGCTAATTGAGCACTGCTTGTTTGTGCCCGAGCATACCAGACTTTAAACCTCTTGATTTGTTGCCCTTTGCGATCGGACCTCGCCCTTTGTTTACGAGGCGCTTGCTTTTGATCGCAAGACAGCCTCACTCACATAAACAAGGTTGTCGTTTTGCAACGATGCCATTATTATTCGAAAGAACTTTTTTATGATGTTTATCCAGGGCTCGCATCCTTGCCATTTCTGTGCGGATAATGCCTTGATTTTGCGTTATTATCAACGACTTTGAGCATTAATGCATCGCTCCTTACCTTTTACTTAAGGTACCATCGCGTTTGCGAAATTCGAAGGGACATTGTGGCACGATGATAATTTGGTGGTGGCCCGGGTGCGATCCATACGCGCAGAACACTAAACAAAAAAAAATTAAATTTTGAATCAGTTCTAGGATGCAAAACCGATACGTAGCAGTATAGCCTAAATAGAATTTAGGTGTATTGAACAATGCGCCTAGGTGTACAAGTTTGTCTGGACCTTACCCAAACGAAATCTGTAACGAACTAAAATCTCGTGCCCACTAATCAAAATGTTAAAATTTGGTATTAGCGTCTCGTGCATATCTTTTATAAGTTTTCAGCCTTGTACAAAAATAAGGAGTGAGCGCCCACGCCCATGGTTTTAGGGTCATGAGTGCGACCGACAATAGGTGGGTGGGCGTGGGTGGGCATGAAGTCACAAGCACAACTTGTGTGGCACCATTATTATTGCAAGATCGAAGGGTAAAGCTAATAATGACCGTGCGCAAGGTACGTGTGTATACAGAACTCGATTCTATTCTACGGACTGAATTACTTATACCAAAGGGCGAGTTCCAGAGCTTGCCCCCCAATCTGAATTTTTATTATTTACGTTGTAAGAGTCTTATTTGTACAACATGAATCTGGTGACCAACCGAGCAAAGAGTAGAGTTTGGGTGGGCGTGGGTGGGCAGAGCCCCCATACACTCAAGAATTAAGCCGACGTGCGGGTGCAATAAGCGCCGATTTGGATCCTTGGTATGGACAGCATGTCAACATTTTGATACTCTGAAATGCTCCAGTGCACCTTTTCTTGTTCTACATTGACAAGACTGTCAATATTTGATACTCTCCTAAATGTGCGCATGCATCAAAATATAGTCAGTCCATTTCTTTGCCGGTACTATGCACGCTGGATGTCCAAGTAGTGACACCTTCCAGCGTCATCACTACGCAAGTGATCAATTTGGAGATGCAGAGTTCGGAAGCAGATAAATCACGATAGCAAAGTGCAAACGAGCTGCGTCAGCTGAAGAGGGAGGTGCGCGCTGATCGTCGTGCGAAGAAGTGTATGATGATGAAGGAAAAGAGGAGGAACGCACGACTTTGAAGCAGTCGAGCTGGCACCGGCTCACCGTGACTCTATGATGGCGAAGCCCGCGTATCATATGTCGCTGCCGCCGTTTGCGCCGTCGTATCTTCATGGTCCGCAAAGCATGCCGGCGTACGGTTTGGCAGCCACGTTCGGTGCCTACCCTCCGTTTTATACTGCCCCTTACTGCTACGGAAGACCGGTGGGGCTGCAGCCTGCGTTGATGCGTCCGAACATGGAAGTCGTGGCCGGGTTGAGTGCAATGAATTCTTTTGGCACGGCTGCTGGTCCGGCGCCAGGACCACCTACCCTGAATTCATCTGAGCCTATGATCGGCCCGCAGCTGCCTACCTTGGAAAAGTTTGTTGCAGCCTCGTCAGACGATGCGTGCATACCTTTTCCTTTGCTGTCGTCTGCGGGGAACTCAGTCAGGTCAAAGCTGATAGACCTGCCAGAACTGCCGGATGTGATCGAGTTTTAGAGAGGACACGCGAGTCGCCTTGTTTGGAAAATTTGACTTTATTCGGGATTTTTGTTGCTCGAAGCAATGGGTACGACGGCGGTCGCTGTTCACAACCTTGTCGTCAGCCGTGAGGTTGATGGATCGTGTATTGGCACCTGGCTGCTTCTTTTGCCAACAACCGCTTGTGCGGCTGTAACGGGAAGGCCGAAGTGGCTCGCTTGCAGCCACTACCGTATGTTAAACACCCTGTTGACACCGACAACTGCTGCACTGTCAATGCAGATGTACGGGCCCATCGGAGGTTTCGTATCCGAAGACTTACAGCGCATTTTGTCCTCCTCCACTTTGTCTGCGATTTTTGCTTTGTTGCGACGACGCGAGCTCGGCTGTGCCGCTTTCAGCAATCCGCGGCATCGCTGCAGAATCGTTTGATACGTTATGTTGTTTACGTGTTGGTGATGGGTGCAAAGCATGCTACATCAAGGTAGAGTTCCAGGACAACTTGTCGTACCTTCCCGTGCAATATCTACCAGAAGCAGCGTATGAGCTACAAGAGATGTGGGGTGGTTTCCTAAGTAAGATGGACGAGGCTGGAGCCACGGAAACATCTTTTCACGGTGCGGGGGGCGAATTGGGGACAAGAGCCCGGGGGGGGGGCGTTGTGGCGATACCATGCGGGTACACATGACACGTTGAAGAATGGCGATGTTGTAGCCTTCCAAGTGCTGGCGCACGAATCGCTCAGTAGCACGACGCCTTTCATTTCAAACTGGTGCAGATGTTCAAGCAAGCTATGCGAAACAACTGTGTGTTGCCTGCTTACGAGTGTGATCATGCTTCAAATGTCTTGGCCTATTTTGACACGAACCAGCATTAAGCAGCCATCTTTCGTAGCTACCTGTAATTAATCCAACGTAAGTTCACCGTATGAAACCCAATAAGCTTTGGTGAGCGGAAACGCATGTGCCGCTTACATCTTTACACACGCACCTGCATTGCAGCGCCTGTTGCTAGTCTTCTTTCCTACATTCTGATCACAACAGATGCAGACATCGCGCCATCAAAAGTCAAGCCTAGGATGTATAGCATGTTTAGTTATCTGTCGTATACATGCAAAAGAAACACACATGAAGTCATTCGATACAGCAACGACCGAACCAAGGATCCCTACCACTTCTCGCGTCACTCGGCATCAAGTTTCTTCGTCATGACATTTCCATGCGGTTTCGGGAGTTTCTCACTTAACACCAAGGGATCCACGTACGCTTCGACCACAATCGGGTCACCGGGTTGTAGTTTGGTGGAGAGCTTGATGTATTCGTCGTACGTTCTCTCGTTTTCCTGAGTTCGTTTGTTGGTGCCCAGCCATTTCTTTACGTGTCTCTCCAGCAAACGTCTTGCTTCCGACCCACCGGTCACTTTCTTCTCCGCAATCGTCAACCTTTTCGCGAATCTGGCCACCACTTCATTCAGTTTTGGCAGCACATTCATCAGCGTGAAATCTGTGCCGAAAGCCTGATTGAAAGCACTAATTTGGCGGGCAACGATGAGCACTGTCTCAAGTTCAGAATCGATCGCGTCATTGCTCATGCGGTGACCGACGGATGCTTGAATGAGATTCTTTAGAGCCGAAAGCATCCGATTCTTTCTTGCATTTACCCATCGCTTTTTAATCGGAACAGTTTTATCCTGCGTCCAGCCCTCCAACAACTGTTTTCTCCAATTTTGAATTTGCGACAGCAACTTCCGCTCTTGGGCTCCTCTAGTGGAGCCAGTGGTCTGCAGCACGGTCCTTATCTGCCGGTAGCTCAGGGGATGCGTGAACATGTAGAGCATCAAGGTTTCCCGATCCAAATCTCTCGCTGGTTCCCAAGCATTTCCCGTTTGCGTCGAGTCGACGCGATCAGCCACTGTGCGCAAGAATTGGGTTGCAGCCTCATCGTTCGTGGTGACGCCCAGCGATTTCAATTTAGGCTGTGGCGCCCTCTCTTCCGCGGGGGTGTCAGCAACTCCGACATCGCCTTGCACACTGGAAGGCCCAGTGGTCGAAGGGCTGACGACCTTTCTTTCGGGATCGGAGGAATTTGCGGCGCTTGATATAGCAGCTGCAGCAGTCGCCAGAAGAAATATGCTACTCAAGCGCATCCTCAGACACTGTCGCTGTCGATTGTAGGCTGAGTGGCTGGAATCGGAAGTGACTGTTCGTAAGAGTGGCAAGAGGCGCAAATCGACTACGTGCAATAGTCGGTTTATAGAGCACAGATGCGAAATTGTCCCTGGCTGTTGCATCACTTGTCTCGTACTTTCGACCGTCGGCTCTTCATGGCATACTGCAATAGGCGACATTTTCGACAACATTGTGATTCGTTGTCTTGTTGTTCGTAAATTCGAGAAAGGGCGCAAAAAGGCGCTTCGATGTCGAAAAAGGGCCGATCAGCAGCTCTCCTGTTACTTTAGTCGGAGCTCCAAGCAGGATTACAATGCGGCAACGCTTATCTTGTGATTTCTCGCTCGATTAATGTTTGATTCAAGCAAGCAGTGCAAGGATAGGGTGCCTTAGTAATGATAAGAGACAAGCCGACCGTTTAGGGTATTTTTACAAATTTATCACATTCAATATTATATGCACCCCAAGCACCACATTCACACCACACCACAATACGGTTTGTACGGCCTATATCGCGCCATTACATCAACTTACGACCAGTGTCACACAACAGTTGGGATCTTTCGTGCCTATGGAAAGTGATTTTACGAATCAATCCTGCATTGACAGGCCTGATCTATAAGTAGACCCAGGTTAAGCTTGATCATCGATACACATAGCTGTACAATAGAATTTCTGGTTCCAAGAGCTAATTTACGTTGTGATGGATCAGGCCGACTATGTTCGATGAAACGTGAGCCTTTGTGTCATTCATTTTGGTTTACCTTTGTCGATTAAAACTTGGCTGTAGCCATTTCTAAGAGAAGAATAGCTAACCCAATATATTCTACATGTATTAACGGGTGCGCCATGGTTGTCGGCCAAGTCATTTACAAAGAAAACAAGCTTCCAGTCGTCTAGTGCGGGCTAAAAGAAGTTCGCTTCGTAAATACAGTGACATTTTGTATGATTGATGCAAATAATTGTGCGATTGCTTTCGTACCGTGGTATGGTTGAATTCGTCACATTATACTGATTTTTACGGCATCTCCCTGATGATTTGTCGGTGAAAGGCACGGTGATTCAAATGTTCAATCGTTACCAGATACCGGTTTCGACCTCCACTTAAGTCCGATACAGTTTGCACCGGGGGGGGGTCGGACCCGTAATCAACGACTTGGACGTCAGCTTACTGCGCCACTACACCAGGGGGTCGTACCGAGGTGGTGGCGCGATAGGTCGTACAAGCAAATTGCGGTGTGGTGTAGGTGTGGTGCTTGGAGTGTATTTAGTAAAAAGTGGGGCAATTTTACAATACTTTACATTTTAGACAAATGCTAAACGGCTGGGTCTCTTTTGATTCGGCCGGGTAATGTGATAAGTTATCAGGGGTAACTAAAAAGGTCACCTAATTTCGTCAGGAATGAATACATCGATTCAACTAAATTGCGAGCCTGAAGGGTGGAGCTATTTGTGAGTGTGCGCAAGGTTGAATGCCGAATTTTTACATCGTACTTATCTGTGTCTGTGTGTCTATAAATAACGCGGTAAGGTGTACCTTGCACGTCCGAGTGAAATCTAGCCTGTTCACCCCTCATTATCGATTAGCATGATAAGTGTGACTCTTTGGCTAGGCTAACATTTTGTTGCACGCATGTGATTGGCTTAAATCTATCTTGGGTAAATTTGTTCACATCAGCAAAGTGCTAGACGCTTGAAAGTAAAGATAGATCAATGCTGTTATGGATAAACACGCAAATTGATAGCATCATTGTAACGGGGCACCCTGAAGCTTGTACTGGTGACAGTACAAGCTACTTATTCTGATAACAGAATAAGGCGGTGCCTCGTAACTTCACGTACACTCGTACGTGCAGAGGAAGACGGTAAGAAGAAGCGAGTACTCGGTTAGAGTAAAAAGTAGAACTGTATTTATAATAGTTAATGTCTGCAATAAATCACTATTTATCTTCATCTAACTATGTCTAAATACAAATGTGTAAATCAGTTATCTGCTCACCACTCATTGCGTGCGTCTGTCGTGGCGCGTCTTCGTTGGTTGATATAATGGCCTATATCAACCAATTAGGAACTACTTGGAAGTGCTACAGAATATTGTCCTTATGACAATATTCTGAGAATATAACTCTTATAGTTATATTCTATTAACAATTTCTTATAAATTGTTATGTAACGATTCACCCCGTTACATCACCCCCCTTAACCATCAGTCACTTTAGTGACTGATTGACTAAATGGATACTCGTCCCAAATCATTTGGGACGGGGTTTGCACTTGTTGGTCCGCGTCCACTTTCCAACATCTCATCGCATGGTAAACAAGCCCATGCGATGCGCGAGCAAGGCCGCCGAGAGCGCGTCTGCACGTCTCTGTGCGGACGCCGAAGCAGAAACTACAGCAACTGATATCCCATCGGTTGCTGAATCGACTCAGCCTGTATCACCTGGTGATGCAGGCGCTGGTCATGAAGACACTCGTGTCTTCACAGAGTACGAGCTCGGTGTCTCGTACTCTCCTGATACGGATGACGGATCCGTATCGACGGCAATTGAATCCAAGCCGCCTGCCAAGCGTGGCATGGACGATGCTTTGCGTCGCAGCATCTTTGGTTCATCTGATGAGTCAGATGAACCATCGCCGAAGCGAAGGCGCTCGAGGTCGCGAGACTCGGGCGCTGATAGTGGTGTCGTTTCTCCAATGGACACCACTTCACAGCGAGGTGCCAGTACTTCTGTCGGCACGTCGCAGGAAGAGCGGGACCGCAATGTGTTGCGTCTCGCTCCAGAAAAGAAGGCATGGATGCCTCCTAAATCTGTCATGGATCACTTGTCGGCGACGACGAGTGATCGTTATCGAACACGATTGTTCGATTCGTCGAGGATTCATCACCTTGACCCCAGCGCGAAAGACTATCGCGCTGAACATGAGTTCTTCATCGATGCTTTCTTCAGACATCGATGGTACAGTGGGAATCACAAACGTGATGGTCCCTCACTACTTCAGGCGTGGAACGCCTACATCCATAATCTCGAGGATGTAGGTCGTGACGCTTGGAACGACAAACTTATCAAAGCTCGTGATAAGTTTGAAAAGCGAACCCCGACAGGTGCACGCTATAAGCTGCATCGTCTGTCAAGGGAGAAAGGATTACCCTGCCTCTCTTGGGGAGACTCGTGCCCATGTTGTGTGAACAACTCTGCACGAGCACCTAAGGAGGCTTACCTCCTTACCAGCCCGTGGTGGCGCGTACGTGTCTCTACTGAGATGTACGAAGGGATTGACAACCTGAAATCCCTTTACGACCGTGCCGGGAAGACTTTCTCCGGCGGTCCTTCTGCGGCACAGGATGTGTCGCGTCGTACTGCTCGACCAGACCCAGTACGTCAACCATCAATTGGGAGCGGGGCTCCCAAGAATCCCAGGACGGGGGATAGCCGCGCCACCGGACGAGGTAACTCGTCCGACGTCCGTTCACGTCGCGGTGGTTCAACAGCTGCTCTACTAGATAGCGCTGGCCACCGCGAGAGTCCTCTAATGGAGGTGGAGGAGGAGGAAAGACGCTCTCCACACGATCATGTGGATCGGTGTGTTCCCGAGAGCTTCTTTGATCGCGTAACGCAAGGGTTACGCGACGATCTCGAGCATGAGCGGAATAGGCGTCTCCAGATGGTGGACACTGCCTCGAAGCATCGAGCTGAGTTTGCCTTTGCTCAGCTTGAGAACGAGAGATCTCTGACATCTCTTCGTGACGAGCTAAGGGTAGCTCGTGGGATTGTTGATCGGTCTCGGGCTGAGATAACTGCTCTTCAGACCCTTGTTGATGCCCACCATCGGGAGCACAAGGCTCTCTGCGAGATGCTTGAGCGCAAGGGCGTTCTTCATCGGAAGAAGCAGCGTACTGATGGTACGGCTTAAGCCGACCAACGTAAAACGTGGGATGCGTTCGCATCTTACGTGGTAACTCGATCGTGTATGCATTGCCTAGGCGGTGCAATACACGAAATGGGCGAATGTACTTGGGTAGTAGTTTACTGCTACCCAAGTTAGTCACTACATGTTTTGGTAGATTAACCGTAGACAGTAGGACTAAGTCACCTTTATTAAATAAAAGAGTGTTTGCCCTTCCATTCTTGTCAGCGTTTTGCTTTTGCTTATCCACCGCTTCGGCGATGGAGTCTTGCACAAAACGGACTACCGTTTCACGAGCCAGTATGAACTCATCTGATGACTCGTTAGCTTCAGTGTGCTGTGAGCGCACTGCAGCGACAACAACCTTTTCTTCAGTGAGGGCTTCCGCACTCTCACTGGGATCATTGTCTTCAGTGAGGGCTTCCGCACTCTCACTGGCATCATCTTCTTCGATATCGATGTTATCGATATCGGCATCAAACGCAATGACTTCTTCGTCAGAGCGTGATGAGCGTGAACCAAATCGGTTTTTGCTCGCGCGAGTCCCTCCCCCCTTAAACCAGAGTTACACTCTAGTAAGGTGGGTACACGCGGATGGCGCAAGCCATTCACGTAAAACGGTGTATGTGTCGTGGACGCATGCACCGAGTTGTTGATGGCAAACTCTACCATCGGCAAAAACTCACTCCAACTCTTAAAGGAGTGTACGTATCCTCGAAGTATCTCTTCAAGGACACGATTGGCACGTTCCGTCTGACCATCTGACTCTGGATGATCAGATGTTGACATCTTCAAGCGCGTTCCGAGTGATTTGAACACGGAACGCCAGAAATCAGCAGTGAATCGTGGATCTCTGTCTGATACGAGTTCACGGGGCAACCCATGAAGTCGGAAGATGGTGTCAATAAAGACACAAGCACAGCCACTTGCCGTGATTGTCTCTGGTACAGCCACAAGGTGTACCATTTTGCTGAATCTGTCAACAAATACGAGAATACCCGTATTCCCGCGTGCGTCTTTGGGTAACCCGAAGACGAAATCCATTGAGATGGATTCCCAGCACTCAGCC